CTCCTTTTATAGACTTTATCTTCCTGTTCGCCCTAGTTTACCCGAGCCTTGTTGGGCTTTATTCTCGTTGGGCCCGTTTAGTAGCCCGGGTAAAGCATGCTTCTGCTGACTCTTCCGGAGCGCTCTTAGTCGTGCTACTAGACGCGCTCCCATGCCGAGGCGTTTCTTACGCGTCTAATGGGCCGAGTACATCGTCACATCGGGCTAAGCTTCTCCATTTGATGGGCCTTGTGGAGGGGTGTAACCCATCTCCTACAATAAGTCCCCCCAGTTCACTTGTGAGTTCGTAGGACTCTAAGTGAATTTGTGGGTCAGGTTTGATCAAATGGGGAATCATTCACTTTACCCGGGCTACTCACCTCCTTGTAACCTCTTGTTTAGATCTAATAAAGAGCGTCTTTGTTCTAGACAAGCTCCGATGGTTTCAAGAGAAGGGATGAAGCTTTCTCATGAAGCCAACCAAAGACTCAAGTCCGAGTGAAGCTTGATCCTTCTTATGGGACTTTCATCGAGCACTTGGTGGGGTTCCGGAGACTTGTGTGAACGAGCGATGGCGTCTTTCCAACGCTCATCATCCCTAGTCAACTCTATCTCTCACCCGATTGCTCGAACTTTCCCTCAGAAAGACGAGGTTCTGGAGATGCCTATAGACGATTCCGATCTAAGTAAGACGGTGCGTGCTGGTGCACATCTAGCCGACGATATGCAGCGAGCATCACATTCCTGAAGGAAAATGTGTTCACCTTCGCTTGGTCCATGACGGACATGAAAGGAATCGATCCAGCAATAACTACCCACGAGCTCAACGTCGACCCCACTTTCAAACCTATCCGCCAGAAAAGACGTAAGCTGGGCCCGGAAAGAGCGAAAGCAGTGAACGAGGAAGTCGAACGACTACTCGTAGCCGGCTCTATCACAGAAGTCCGTTACCCGGAATGGCTAGCGAACCCTGTGGTAGTCAAGAAAAAGAACGGGAAATGGCGCGTCTGCGTCGACTTCACCGATCTTAGCAAAGCTTGTCCGAAGGATAGTTACCCGTTACCCAGCATCGACCGTCTCGTAGAATCAACCGCGGGAAACGAGATGCTCACCTTCATGGATGCGTTCTCGGGCTACAATCAGATTATGATGCACCCCGATGATCGCGAGAAGACAGCGTTCATCACAGACCGAGGAACATACTGTTATAAAGTCATGCCGTTCGGGTTGAAGAACGCTGGTGCTACCTACCAGCGACTCGTCAACCGCATGTTCGCCGACAAACTCGGTAGCACCATGGAAGTTTATATCGACGATATGCTCGTTAAGTCGCTTCACGCCAAAGATCATCTTAACCATCTGCGCGATTGCTTCAAAACGCTAAACAAGTATGGGATGAAGCTGAACCCAGCGAAGTGTACGTTTGGAATCTCCTCAGGTGAATTTCTAGGCTACATTGTTACCCAGCGCGGCATTGAAGCCAACCAGAAGCAAATATCATCTGTGCTCGACCTCCCAAGTCCTAAGAACAGCCGCGAAGTCCAGCGGCTAACCGGTCGCATCGCCGCTCTTAACCAATTCATTTCTAGGTCAACTGATAAATGTCTCCCTTTCTACGACCTTCTCCGTGGAAACAAGAAATTCGTTTGGGACGACAAGTGTGAGGAAGCCTTCTCCCAGCTCAAGAAGTACCTCACACTCCTCCAGTCCTCGCAAAGCCAGACGAAGGAGACGTCCTCTCACTCTACATTGCCGTCTCTAGTGCCGCGGTTAGTAGCGTCCTCATCAAGGAGGACAGAGGTGAACAGAAGCCAATCTTCTACACAAGCAGGCGTATGACTGGCCCGGAAACTCGGTACCCAGCTCTCGAGAAGATGGCTCTCGCCGTGGTAGAAGCAGCCAGAAAGCTGCGACCCTACTTCCAATCACACTCGGTTGAGGTGCTGACCGATCAACCTCTCCGAACTGTCCTGCAGAATACGAATCGCGCCGGTCGACTAACCAAGTGGGCCGTAGAACTCGGGGAGGTTGACATCACGTATAAAAATCGCACATCCCTCAAAGCTCAGGTCTTGGCTGACTTCATTGTCGAGTTGGCACCCGAACTAGAGCAGGACACCCAACTCCCGAGTCAGAACTGGATATTACATGTGGATGGTTCTTCAACGAACAAAGGTTCAGGCGCAGGTGTTCAACTCCAATCCCCAACTGGCGAACTGATACGTCAATCGTTCAGCTTCGGCTTCCCGGCGTCAAACAACGAAGCTGAGTACAAATCACTGATAGCCGGCCTACGCTTGGCTAAGGCAGTCAAAGCAAAACGAGTAAGTGCATATTGTGACTCTCAGCTCGTCGCCGGTCAGTACAATGGAGACTACGACACCCGCAACGACCAAATGGATGCTTACCTCCGTATCGTTCAAGAGTTAGCAAAAGAGTTCGAATTTTTCGAGCTCACCAAGGTACCCCGTGGTGAAAACGCTTGTGCAGATGCACTCGCCGCTCTTGGAAGCAAATTACGCGACCAAATTAAGCGAACCATCCCGATACATCGCATCGACGAACCAAGCATCAACGTTTCAAATGAGACGGCTATCGTTGTCACCCCATCAATGACACAGCGATGACTGAGACCGATCAGCAGACCGTCGACTGGCGTTTGGAGTTTATCAACTATCTCTCGCACGGCACCCTGCCAACCGAGAAGTGGGAGGCTAGACGACTAAAAAGGCGCAGCGCGCATTATACCGTCATGGATGACGAACTTTTCAGATACAACGCATGCGGGGTCCTCCTCAAATGCATTCACGGAGATGAGATTCGACGTGCGATGGCCGAAACCCACGATGGCGCTAGAAGGAGGGGGCTAAGGAGAATTATCATGAAAACAAATCAAACTTAGGAAGAACCCTAGATATGGGTTTTAAAAAGAAAAAGAAAACATTAAGATATCGACTCTTTCAAGGCACATCAGCTACGGCAGGTTGAGATCTCCGGGAAGAGATTGTTTAACGACGACGGGAGAGATTGTTTTGATCTCCAAGCTCTTACGGGAGATAAAAGGAGCTCTCTCTGTTTCTGTTTCTCTTCTTCTCCGTTACCTCTGCCATTGATGACGAAGAAGCTCTCTCTTTGAACTTCAAAGCTTTCATCATTGTCTTTCTCCAGCGTTCACCAAACATCCAGCGAGTGGGTCAGTTCAGCATCTCCGGACTAAAGAAGTTCAAAGGTACGAGCTTTCCGCAGAACTCGCCGACGAGGAGAACGACGGTGGTTTCAAGACTCGTTCTCGACAAAGCTCACGACTTTACACGACTCTGTTTCCTACAGAGCTCTCTGTTCTTGAGCTGAATTCAAATAGTGTATGGATCTGAAGTCATGTTCTCGATCTATTAAGGTTCAGATATCTATAGGGAGGAGATGAATTACTTCCATGACGAGGTGATTGAGCACATCTTCGACTTCATAGCTTCTCACAAAGACAGGAACTAAATCCAGAAAGGCCAATAGAGAGGTTTCCATCTCTCAGATCGTTGACTTTGAAGGGGAAGTTTTCTAATTAGTTAATTATTTGCACCAGATGCACCGCTTTACTTTGTGGAAACACAAAAGTCAATTACGTACATGTGTAGTATTATAGCATTGTTTTAAATTATTAAATCTCTAAGCTTTCTCATTCTTGTATAACTCTTATAAGATAGACTCATGTGATATGTGATTGGTTATTGCTTTGTTGCTGGTAGATTATGATATTAATAATTTGACAATTATTATATCATCATGTGCAACACACGGGCAATTAAAACGTGTTTGATCATTTTCTTATTAATTATGCATAACTCGATTAGTTCTTTTGGTTTATCTTGAGCTAATCATGCTTGTGCTTTTCATGAGGCAGAGTCATTATGATTGCTGAGCCGAAGCGAAAAAAGAAATCAACGAACTCTCAGCTACAAGCTTGGCGGAAGCAGTACGAGCGGCAAGCCAGCGCGTTTCTCGACGTCATCATAGCTTGACGAACATACAAACCAGCAACTTGCTCGACATACAACAATCTCGACACGAGACTTCGGGTCAGCAATAGTTCGGTAACCTTGTATATTAGGCACGAATTTACTTTGAACTTGCTTTTTATTAGGCACGAATTTACGATCGACTCGCTTATTGTTAGACATGAGTTTATAAAAACTCATCCTTGGCTAGGCATGAGTTTACATAATCTCTCCTTCTACTAGGCACGAGTTCAGTAAACTCGCCTTCGTCTCGGCATGAGTCTAGTAAACTCGTCTTTCACTAAGCACGAGTTTAAAGTAAACTCGCCTTTTACTAGGCACAAGTTCGAAGTAAATTCGCCTAAATCGTCACAGGCATGAATACGCCTAGTTCATTGTCTAATAAACCCTATTCGTAAAATTCACAGAGATCGACTTCGGCTTTAACTGGTAACCATCAAAATAATATGAGGAATAAGAAAGAAAGGAATGAAAAGGAAAAAAATAAAAGGAAAATCTATTCCCCTTCTAATTTGATAATGAATAATTGTTGTCTTTTATTCCTTAAATTTTAAGAAATGTTAAGGAATTATAGGTAACAAATATTCCTTGTAAATGGTGTAAATTGTAAGGAATAGTAAGGAACTAGCTATTCCCATTCATTCCTTTGGTCACCATTTGGAGCCTTCGTCTCTCTCTACGAACTTGGGGGGACTTACTGTTGGACATGGGTTTTACCCCCAACAAGGTCCATTAAGACAATGAATTAGCTCATCTCACTAGGAAACCTTAGTTCTCACATTCCTATAAATAAGGAGCTACCTCCTTATTAGAAAGAATTCTCTTCTATTCTTAGATCTTGAACACTTCCTATAAGGATTTTCTTGATTCTTAGATTCATTTTACTCTTCAAATAATTTGTAATGCAATCTTTAATCAATAAAATATCTTAGATGTTCATTTCTTATTTGATTTCAATGTTGATTTCTCCTAAGCCTCAAGAATCTAATTCTTAGATTCTTTTATTGTATGAATTCGACAAACACGCCGTTTTCGGTTCAAACAGCATTGGCATCAAGAGTTCACCGTGGAAACAAGAACAAGGAAGGAACTCACATTAACCTTAAGGTAAAAAAACACTTCATCCCGTTTTTTTTTATTCTTTGTTAAATTGTTTAAGCCTTTATTGATTATACCGCATTGCTAATAAACCAATCCGGTTTACATCAGGGTTTTGCCATTGGTAACGGGTTGACCAACCCAAAGATCCAGTATGCTGCATACGCGGATTACGCGCTAGATATGAAGTTGATCTCACAATCTGACCACCATAACCTTAATCGTGATTATGAAGCTTGTCAACAATCCATCAAAGAATGCAGTAAATATATCTCAACCTCTTTCTTTCTTTTAAGACAAAAAACATTGAAAAGATTTTCTTATCATTAGTAGATATTTCCTTTTTTTAACGCGAGTTCTTAATCTTAGGCGCTGATGGTGGTGAAGCATGTGCGTCTTCATACATTGTATGCAACAACATATTCCAAAAGATCATGAATATAGCTGGAAACGTTAATGTGAGCATTAAACATAATTCAAAGAATGCATTTGTACTCCTTTCTTCTTAAGGTAACTTACAAGACTTTTCCCCTGTTCTTTTTGAAGTATTACGACGTGAGGAAACAATGCAAAGGAAGCTTGTGCTATGATTTCTCGAACATGGAGAAGTTCTTGAACCAAAAATCCGTTCGCAAGGCATTAGGTGTGGGAGATATAGAGTTCGTGTCTTGCAGTACGGCCGTCTATGATGCAATGCAGCTGGACTGGATGCGGAATCTTGAGGTCGTGATTCCAGCTCTGCTTGAAGATGGGATTAAGATGCTTATCTATGCTGGAGAATATGATCTCATCTGCAATCAAGAACTCACTATATTTGTCTCTACACAACCGGTTAAGCTGAGATTGATAGAATATGTTGTTTATGTACTTTACAGGAAACTCGAAATGGGTTCACGAGATGGAATGGTCAGGCCAAAAAGATTTTGTAGCAGCTTCGACGTTTCCTTTCCATGTAGATAATAAAGAAGCCGGATTAATGAAGAATCATGGTTCACTCACTTTCCTCAAGGTAAACCAAACAAAATAAAAAACATAAACCAAACCTAATCCCATTGACAAAATGTAACTTAATTGAAATGGAGAACACATTTTACAGGTCCACGATGCCGGACACATGGTTCCAATGGATCAGCCAAAAGCAGCATTGCAAATGCTTCAGGATTGGATGCAAGGAAAGCTCGGTACACCCACCGGTCGAACCGCTCGCCAATGATTTCATTTCTTCTCAACATCATTGATTCCAGATACTAAACCGATTGTACTGTTGTTATTATGTATCTAGACTAGGTACTTGTGAATTATTATTTCTATAAACTATATTGTTATTAAAGGTAAAAAGTAAAGTAAAGTTCCTATGTTGAACACTCTTTACTCTGTTACAAAGATTTGACTGTTCCAAGTTTTAACCAAACCTAAGATGACACAGCTTGTGAAGTTTAACGATGACCCTCATAAGAACGATCATGATAATCTTTGTCATCATCAGCATCATAATCATCAAGAATGAGTGTAACACCATTGTTCTTTAGTGAGTTAATAACAGCCCATACCTTGGTTCGACTTTTGAACCCTTTCTTCTCAATTTCTTTCTTGACATCGGCATGGATACCTCTTCCTTGCCCATCTTGGAGCCCTTCCACTTTCAACCTCATCGCCAACACCTCTCCCACAATAGCAGCAGCTTTGGCATTGCAAGTACGACCACACTCTAGCGAGTTCTTGATTGCATGCTCTACGGTTGAAGCTGTTGTGACTACTCTCCCGTTGTTTCTGTCAACTACGTTTGCTGTTATGTACTTGATGGACATGAAGAGCCTCAAGACGTACCTTTTGAGAACTGTCATTGATTCTACCAAAAACCTGTTGGGTCTAGAAAATGCACAAGAAACATTAAAAATTGTCAGCGCTGAAAACGAACAGAATTGAGCTGAAAGGTTCAAAAAACATATCCTACAAAATATCATTTACAAGATATTGCTGTATGGAAATTAAAAGATGTCTGTCCATAAAACATCAAAATTAAAAGTTGTTAAACAAAGATAAGTGTAAGAGTCAGATAAACTGATAATTCATTTTCAATACAAAAAAAAAAAAAAACTGTTATGATAATGAGAATACAGAAAATGATAAAAGGATTGTAATTTTTCTTTCTTTTCGTCACCAAGGATCAAGTAATCGCCATGTAGATGAGAGATGTGTTATAAGTATCACATACTGAAACACTTCACTAAAATCAGAAACTATGGATCAATAAGATTCTTATAAACTCAGAAGAAACCAAATCTGTATTTTAATCTCAGAAGTTCCATCTTTTTCATCTTCCCCAAAGACTGAATCATACAAATCGAATCTAATGCACAACTTACAATCCGTAACCAAGAAGCTTCAAAAATCATGAAACTAATGCACATAAGTCATCAATTAACAAACTAGAGAAGCGAGATGAAACTTCACCTCGAAGGAAGATATAGTAAATCGATTTTCTTTGATTTGGATTCAAATTCGTTCTGATTTGGGGACACTCAGAAATTAAACTTCTCAATAGGGATGTTAAGAATAATCAATCATAGCAATAAATAAGCTTGAGCTTGTACAGCTGGCCTTGGATTCATCTTGAGAAACACTCTCGAATCACTAAAACAGAACATCACTAACCTTCTCACTCAATGCTCAACGAGTAACCTTCTCAAGTTTTGCGTTAGAATGCTTTTGAAGATCAATAGCTTCCTGTCATATGGTTTAGAAGCAAGTTGACAATGTTAGTACATTCCAGATATAAGATAATTCCAGCATAAACCCAAGTGAATAGAGATCTCTTGATCAACAAAAGCATATCAAGTTTCAGAATTACATTGTCAAACACATTAACAAGCATACAAGCTCGAGCGAAAGAGAGAGGCGGCGAGAGAGAGAAGCGGCGAGAGAGAGAAGCGGCGAGAGAGAGAGACGGCGAGATGAGATCTTCAAGCTCCTTTCATGGCGAGAGAGAAGCTTAGGGGGTGTTATTGGGTTGAAGTGATTTTGATTGTAGTGTGTTTTAATTCTTATGGACTTTAATGGAGTTCTGTGTAAAATAGTTTTAGCAAAAAAAAAAAAATTAGATACGATGATGATAAAGGAATATTCGTTGTAACTTATTATTTGCCAATGACCAAAAGGAAGATCTTTCACGGAGCAGGTACTGGCCAATTTTTAGTTACTTATTATTTGCCTTGATTTGTTCAAGTATTTTCATTTTACTTATATTAGGATAAGACTTGCGACTTGATAAATGTATGTAACTAAAATATAAAATTTTGATATTGACAAATTTAAAATTTATATATGAATGTTTTTATATGTATTTGAAATTTAGAATTTTAGAACTTTTTATATAATTATTTATATGTAGGATCATAAACAATTGTAATTAGAACTGTATATCAAAGCTTAGAATTTAATGGACCCGATTTCATCTATCTTTTCACTTTTCAATGTTCGAGTGATGGAAAATAAACGAAATATCACTAGACTTGATTAATAGAGTATTAGCAAGGTCCATAATGCTTTCTTAATAAGCAGTTGGTAAAATATTTGCATTTAAAATATATAAAGTTTTCAGAAGTAATTTAATATAATTTATTTATTTGTCTAATAATATTAGAAAATTATATTTTTTTACAAATTATATATTCTTTAAAAAATAATTTTATAAAAAATTAAGTTAAATTTTAAATTATTATTGAAAACAATAATTTAAGTTTTTCAAATAAAAATAAATAATTTAAAATTAATTATGGTCATGATTTAACATAATCATAATGATTTAAAAAATTTAAAAATTTAAAAATTAACTCAATTTTAAATCATGATTTAACAATTTAAAAATTAATTATGGTTATGAGAAGTTTACGTTCATGTATCAATCCTATTTTTCTTCAATTTTTTCTCTTGTTGTGTTTTTTTTTTTTTGGTTATTACTTGATATAAATATTTATTTTGAAGTTTATTCTCATTTTGTTTGTTTGTTTTGACTTGGGATTTAGAAAATACTTAAAGATTTAAATAATTAAAATGATACATACTTAGGTTAAGATCTTCACTTTTTTGCATATTATAAAATAATAAAATAATAAATATATATATATATTAATTAACTTAGAAAGCCGTTACTATTATCAAGTACTAGACTACATGAAACGATTGTTATCAAGCACATGGTTGCTTCAAGCACAAGTCATGGATTGTTATCTTCTGTGTGCACTAGAACCGCAGGAAAATAAATGTCTGCGGTTCAAAGAAGAACATGTAATTGAAAGCATACCTTATATCAAAGCAAACAACAAATTCATGAACTTAAAGAGAACAAAATTCACGAACTTTAGACAGTCTAGGATATCATAAGCTGATGAATTGTGCAACTTCATATAAAAACTAATAGTGAAAAACGATAATATTCTTATGTTTGGGCACTGCCTCTCCTCTAACTCAACCAGCAAAGACAACTAGACATTGCACTGTCTTAAATCATATCTATTTCAAGAAGTAACGAACTGAGAGCAAGAATATATTCGTAGTTCCATGGTAACGAACTCATACAACGTTACTAAAAGAAACATAAGTCAATCAACGTTGGTTTATCCTATTCTGTTTCAGAGATTCAAATTCAACAACGAGACTAAGACGTCACGTAATAAGTCAAAGCTCAGTATTGTGTTGCTGCAAGACACAAACGGAGTAAACAACACAAAGTTTCTATTCCCATACCAAAATCTACAGCAAAAAAGCCATATCTTTCTCACAGAAACAAAACAGAAGAAGATGATGATATGATTAGAAGTCTTAAACTTGTTTAGCTGCATCATTAAAATCCATTACTATTATCAGCTTCTAATGAGTCAAGAAATGTTCCAGCTAGGAGTATATCTTAAATAGTATTCAGTCATGCGGTTTAGCAAGTTCAGGGCTTTTCAAGTTCTGTAACATACTAACATCTACGAAACTAAAAGGCAAAAGACTTACTTCGTGAAGACACTTAAACTTATCAAAGATCAAGTCATATTTTCATGTAGCTAAGTCTAACACAACTATCTCAGTTTTTCTTCTTCACCAAGAAAATAACACTTAAAAAGCTGCGTAAGAGGTTCTCTAACTACACTATAATACTATAAGACCGAAGCTAAGCAAAAGCCAATAAGAGAACAACCATAAAATCAAATCAAACGAGATTCAAATTACTGATTTGAGTTAAGTACTGAGTCTAAGCACTTGAAACGCAATAATCATTCCGTATACTCTGCACTAACCTTCTCAATGCTCAATGAGTAACCTTCTCAAGCTTTGGGTTATAATACTCTTGAATCAAGTTTCAGAATTACATTCTCAAACACATTAACAAGGAAATCCAGCATAAACCCAAGTGAGAAAAACGAACCCTTTAGCTCATACGGCGAGGGAGAGGCGGCGAAAGAGATCGCCGTCGATGAGAGACGGTGAGTGAGAGAGACGGCGAGATGAGAGACAGTGAGAGAGAGAGAGACGGCGAGATGAGATGAGAGACAGCGAGATGAGATCTTCAAGCTCGATGAAATTTTTTGTTTTTTTTTTTGTTTTTAGGTTTTTTTAATTAATAATTAAATGGGTCAAAATTGACCAAACCCAATAGATCTATTAACACATTAACTTGTTAACCCATTAATCTGTTAACCCATTAATCTGTTAACCCATTAAACCATTAGATCAAAAATAAACAGTTCATATGGGTTAATGGGTCAACTTGGGTTGAGTCAATCCATGGGTCATGACCCATTTTAACACCCCTACTATTATGTAATAAATTGGCGTATGCATATAAATTTATCTATTACTCTTATTTATTCGCAGTTAGGGTAAATAAATCAAAATAATCAATCTTATATATTGTATATGATACATAATTAAATTTAAATGATATAAACATAGTAATATAGCACAATTTTAATATGGATATCTATTAAATGAGGTTTCTACTCATATGATTTTACGATTATTTTCATATTTGTGTAACAAAACTTTACACCAACGATTTTTTTTTAATGTGAGATGGTTAGTAGTTTCAATAATTTATAATCATTTTTTTAAAATGACATATTTCAAAATTAAAATATTAACTCTTCAATATATGTTCAATAAAAATATAAAAATATAAGTATGTATTTTCATACGATGTATAGTTTAATTTAAAAGATATGAAAT